TTGTTGTTGTTGTTTCTTTAATTACCAAAATGTTGAGTGTTGTGTATACTGATGTAAAGAGACGTGATTTTTTTTGTTTTCTCGATTTCTTTTTCTGTTTTTTTTTTTTTTTTTTTTCATTTTGAGTAAAACCCATTTACATTAAAACAGCAGATACAGAAGGTTTGATCAGAAAGGGGGTAAAAAAAGAGAGAAAGGTTACTTCTCTCTCTCTCTCTCTCTGCTGCGGCAACAAGGAGAAGGGTAGGCTCCACCACAGAAATAATAAAGTGTAATTACAGAAAACAAAAAAAAAAATAAAGCAAAAAAAAGAAAAAGTGTTCGTAAATTTGTGTATTTGAAAGACTGAATACTTTCTTTCTTTCTAATAAATACATACACACGGAGAAGCACGGGGTAAATAAAATCCAAGATTTTATTTCTCTTCTTCACTTTTTTTTTCTAATTGGTTAAACCATCTCATTTAAATATATATATATATATATATATATATATATATATATATATGACTATGAAGAGCCGTGGCGGAAGAGAATCTGGAAATGTGAAATCCCTGCTAGGACTGCCCCGTGGGACCACAACGACACTCCCATCACTCACACGAATGGGCGGTAGTTGGCCACCACCACAATCACAACAACAACAACTATCACCACATCTGCCAGAACGACTCTCACCACCACCACCGCAAGCATTGTCTCAACAACAAGTATCATCCTCATCTCAACAGCAGGTTGGGGGTGCCTCATTTTTATTAACTCCCTCGCCGTTGTCTTCGGCGACGACTGTGGCCCCCGCCCCCGGGGCTCCGGCGCTGGTGGTGCGGGGGAGTAGTGCCCTCGCCGGGGGAGACCGCCGCCCACCGCCCCGCTCGCCGTCGCCCACCCGCTCGCGTTCCTCTTCGCCCCCGCACGGGCAGTCGCCCTCCCACCCCTTTCCGCGGGTACCCCCACCCCAGCAGCAGCAGCAGCAGCAGCAGCAGCAGCAGCCATCAACACCATCAAAGCAGCCTATACCGCCTCCTCCGGCGCTGCAGTCCCCACGACAGGGGAAACCAACGACGGTGAATGTTCCTGCGAGTGGAGTTACAGTGTCGCCAGCGCGTGGACTTCCATCAGTACGTGGTCAGAGTGCGGCATCGCCAAGAGGAAGACACGAAAATCAGACTACGAAACAACCTTTACCACGATCACAGCAAACTGTTGTATTTTTAGAAAGTGTGGAGACTGAATCAACACATGCAACTGAGAGTCAACATGAAACAGAGAATGGTTTAAACGGTGGGCCATTACAAATCAAACAAGAAAGGAATACTCCAGCAGGAAGTAGTGAAATGTCAGAGTCTAGGGGAGAAGATGTGCTACAACTATTTACTCTAGATATAATGAAATTTGCTGAACTAGAAAATAGTGGAGATTCTAAAATGATGCATACGAAAGATAATGGGGCAAATAGTACTGAACCACCAAAGAATGATGCGACATTACCACCCAATTTGAATCCATGTTTCGTCTATGGTTCTGAGTGGGAATCACAGTTAGGGGTTAATGTTTTGAGTCAATCCCCATTCAATGGCTCTAGACGTTCCCATCCTAATCATAACAGCAGAAATAATAGTCTGACAAGTCTTGGAAGGAGTGTAAATATGGAACGTCTTCGAGCACGAAAGCGGCAATCTATAGTGGCATTAAGTGAAAGAAAAAAATTAGCGAGAGAACTTCAAATGTCAGGAGAATTTACACAAGATGATCCACAGTTAAAACGTATGCTTGCCCGTGAATCACAAAAACGACGAGTTAAAAAGGATGCTCCATCACTTTACTCTGTAGCTCTACCTATTTTTAATGAAGAAACAGGTGTATTAGGGGATGATTGTGTTTTCCCAAAATCTCTTTCTGTTGATGATGCTATTCAACGTGTCCTTGAGAAAGAAAGAGGTGAACTTCGCACAAAGACGAGTGGTGTTGGTATTACTAGATTCCTTAGAGAATTTGAAGAAAGTCGTGAAATTATTTATTTATATTTCTGGTATATAGTAGCTCATATACGTCGTGTAGATGCAGAAAATACTCTTTTAGGTCGATATTTACATCTTCAACGTGTTTTTCGAAGTATGTTTCCTCGTCATAAAGGTGAATTACCTTCTATATCATTACTTGAACAAACTATGGCAAAAGCATTGGAAGTTATTTCAAAAAAACGTCGACAAAATAAAGAAGTAAATGAAGAAACACGAGAAGAAGAAACGGTATTTTTTTCATTTAATGGAGATGATTTATCTGTAATGGATGGTAGTACTTGTAGTACTCCTCTTTTATCTTCTGAAGATGGAAATCGATCATTTAATAGACGACGTAATAGTAGAAGACAAAGAACTGGAAGTGTAAGTTATGCTGGTTTTTCAGTTTTGGGAGTGAGTGAACTTCCAAATGATAAATTGCAATCCTGTGATGTACCATCTGTGATACGATGTGCTGGAGCTATTGATATTTTTACAGTAATGCAAGTAGAAGTATATGAACTTGCTGAATTTGGATCTCGTTGTTTTCATCGTCTTTCTTTACTTTTTACTCAAGCCTTTGGACGATTACGAGCGGAAAAAGATGAAATTCTTGCGGCTTTCATGTATGTAGTTCCTCATGTGACTTATTATGTGTTATTGTATTGTTTTCCTAATGATGTAGTGGCGGGTATGTTTAGTGGACCTATGCGTTTAGCCCTTTATCGCATTTTTTATTATTGGTGTAGTGGACTTACAGCCACTTGTGTGCGGGTGAACGGCTGGCCAACACCAGGCTCATCCGATGTGTCTAATCTCTTACCATCACCATTAATGCAAAGTCTAACAGGCGAACCACAACTACAAAAACAACCAAAACAACAGGAATCATCATTACCAGAGAGACAAGAAGAAGAAGATAATGAGAATGATGAAGAAGAAGAAGAAGGAACTAAAACAAGTTTAGGAGAAACTCCAATGAGAGAAGGAAGAGAAGGAGGAGGAGATGTGACGACTACACTTGATTCCCATACAGACCTCAAACCCTCAACGCATAAGAATGGATTAGCCGATACTTCCTATTCCCATTCTCTCACTTTCTCTGTAGTGGAAGAGGCTCTTCGTCCATTAAATGATAATTCCTTTGAGGATGTGGATGTGGAAGTGGCAAATGGTCATCATCGTCTCATTTTGGAGTTTAAAAAGTACGCCAAACATGTGAATTATTTAGTACGGGAACTAGAGCAACGGACATTAGATATGCATAGACAAGTATTACAAGAACCGTGCATTCCTCAACAACAACAACAACAACAGCAAGAAGAACAACAACAGCAACAACAACAAACGCAAAAAAAATTTAAAAAAAATGTGGCCTTCGCAGAACCAATAAATACAAAGAATTCAGCAGGAAAGAAAAAGAATGAAAAGGGAAATGGTATTTCTGTGGATACAAACAATCATAAAAGGAACACTAATTATAATAAGAATAATAATAATAATAATAATATCACAACTATTACACCTAATGTACCAAAACAACCCACACGACGAATGGATAATAATAATGTAATTTTACCTTGTATAGGAGGAGGAGGAGGAGGAGGAACACGTGGGAGAAGTAATAGTAATAATAGCACTAATAGTAATAACACTTGTGTACTCTCTTTATTCCCACTTGATAGTGCTGCTGTGAATATACGTCGATACATTACACGTCAAGCGGATATGTCTTTAATACAGGTTCCACTGCCACCATTAAATGAGATCACATCAACAGAAACCGGTCAAAATAGTTTAATACGATCTCGTGTGGCTAGAGTCTCACTTCCTGCCGCCTCTCCGTTTTTTCTTTACTTTGCAGAGGAACGACTTAAAAAGAATAGATCCCCTTCTCCTCATACTTTGCGGGATTTATCATCTTTTACATATCATGATGGAAGTCGTCGTTGTAGTGTGAATTCCAGTAATAATAGTAATATCAGCGCCGTACAGGCTGCCCCTCGTCACCATGATCTTGTTAACAGCAATAATAATAATAATAATAATAATAATAATAATAATAATAATAATAATAACAATAGTAGTAGTAGTAACAATTACAATGTTAGTAATAGTCGTAGTAGTTTATATGCAAAGAAGAATACTAAAGGACCTACTACTACGACAACTACTACTGGCAATACGGCTAACTCATTATTCCCTCATCGCGGTACGGAGAAGACTATCAAACTCACATTAATTCCACCATCCGACACCCGTCTACGGCCATTACAGTTTAAAGCTCTCACGAGAGATGTTACCCGGCGACAGAATGCACTTAGTAGACAATTAGATATGATGTCTGAGCGCGAACAGCAATTGCGTCGACAGTACAACGCAGATACCCAACATGGTCTACGTCGGGTGGATCAACTTCTCGCAGAGTGTCAAAACACTCGATTTGATACCCATACCTTTAAAAGTCTATTGGGAAATAATAATAATAATAACAGGGGGAGACAGAGGCATGACCATCAACATCGATCACCACAACGAGAACATCACCAAGAAGCGAAGAAAAGAAGTGGGAGAGGAAATGGAAGTGTGCCAAGACGTAGAGAAGCACGTGCAGAAGAGAGAGGTGTTTGGTAATATATATACATATATATATATATATATATATATATATATATTAGTGTATTGTTATTGTATGGATCCCATAGATTTACTATGGAAGTGTAAGGAGGCATGTATAGAGAGAGAGAGAGGAAAGGACTGAAAGTGAAGTTGCAGGAATTTATTATTATTATTATTATTATTATTATTATTATTATTATTATTATTGGTTATTGTTATTATTATGGAAGATAAAAGAGACAGAGCAGCACCCATGAGAGAGTTTTTACAGTTCCTTATTATTATTTTTTTTCGTTTGTTTTTGTTTGTTTTTACGTTTTTCTTCTTTTTTAAAAAAAAAAATGCGTATCTTTTACATATATGGGAGGAAAAAAGAAAAAGAAAAACATGAGTATATACATTGGGAAAAAAAAAGAAGGAAAAGAAAAAAAAAAAAGCAAAAAGGGATATATATGTATATATTTCCCCCTTTTTTTTTACGGTAAATGGGAGAAACGACTATAAGAGAGGTACAAACAGCAATAACAGGATTTACAGCAATAGAGAAGGAAATAGAAGAATATATTTGCACTCAACCAATGTATATATATATATATATATATATACATACATGTATTTATTTATATAAATGTATAATAACAGTAATAATAATTACTTTTTTTTTTCTCCTTTTCATCTCTTTATATTAGTGTAATATCTATCTATTTCTCTACCTGTACATATCCACCTCTCATTCTCTATTTATTTCTCTCTTTGTCATGGTTTTTTTTTTTTTTTTTTTTTTCTTTTTTTTACCTTTCTTGAGTTTTGGAAATTATACTTTTTTCTTTTCTTTAATATATATATATATATATATATATATATCTCTTCTTAATGGATTGCACCGTATTGGAATGGGCACAGTGTGTATATGTGAATGTTATTCTCTCTACACACTGTGTGATGATCACAAATAAATAAATGAAAGAAAAAGAAAAGAGAGAAAAAAAGAGAAATGAACGTGTAAATAAAATAAAATAAATGATGAACGCAAAAGAAAAAGAATATTTTTCTTTTTTTTTTTCGTTTGATTTTGTCATTTTTTCTCTTCTTTTTTTTTTTTTTCTTTTCGTTTGCTCCCCAAGTCAAGAAGGTAAAATATAATTTTTTTTTTTTTGTGTGTGTTTTTTTTCTTTATCAGTTTTTCAGTTGTTCGTGTGTTCCTATTGCACTTAATTGTATATATATATATATATATATATATATAGATGTGTGTGTATTTTTGGTGGATCTTGTTATTATTACTACTATTACTGTTAAATGATAACCATATGTATGCTATTGTTTTT